AGGGAGGAATAAGCCCATGCAGGCACCAGTACAGGCTGGGGGTTGACCTGCTGGAAAGCAGCTCTACAGAGAAGGACCTGGGAGTGTTGGTGGACAACAAGTGAAGCATGAGTCAGCAATGTGCCCTTGTGGCCAAGAAGGCCAATGGTCTCCTGGGGTGCATTAGGCAGAGTGTTGCCAGCAGGTCGAGGGAGGTGATCCTGCCCCTGTCCTCAGCCCTGGGGAGGCCTCACCTGGGGTACTGTGTCCAATTCTGGGCCCCCCAGCACAAGAGAGACATGGCCCTACTGGAGAGAGTCCAGCGGAGGGCTACAAAGAGGATGAGGGGACTGGAGCATCTCTCCTCTGAAGAAAGGCTGAGGGAGCTGGGCCTGTTCAGTCTGGAGAAGAGAAGGCTCAGGAGGGATCTTATCAACATATAGAAGTATCTGAAGGGGGAGTGTCAAAAGGATGGGGCCAGACTGTTCTCAGTGGTGCCCAGCGATAGGAAGAGAAGCATCGGGCACAAACTGAAACACAGGAAGGTCTGGCTGAACATGAGGAAAGACTTATTTCCTTGTGAGGGTGACAGAGCACTGGCACAGGTTGCCCAGAGAGGTTGTGGCGTCTCCTTCTCTGGAGATATTCAAAAGCTATCTGCACAGAGTTCTGGGCAGCTGGCCCTAGATAACCCTGCTTGAGCAGGGAGGTTGGACTAGATGATCTCCAGAGGTCCCTTCCAACCTCAGCCATTCTGTGATGTGTGTGTGTGGATTGCACGTGTGTGTTTGTGTATGTGCCCACTGGGAATACACACTCAGCTACCCTACTGGCAGACCTGGGGCACAGAGTGGGGGCAACCTCAGCTTTGTTGGCTGCCAGATTCAGCCGCCTCGAACAGGGGCAGCCTGTTTGGTGCAGTCACAAATGTGGCTGGGCAGAGGCCGAGCCAGGGCCATGCAGGGCAATGCACATGCAGCGCAGCAATGTGTGTGCAGCGCAGCCCCTGCAGCTACCCCGTGCAGCTCCTCCGTGCACTGCCAGAGGAGTTGGGGTATCTGGGCTGGGCCAGCCACGCTGTGCTCAGGCTCTTCACGTCCTTCACCGTGCTCGAGGCTGAAATACCTGCATCTCGTGTGTCAGCCGGCTGTGTTGCTGCCCAGGCAAGTGCCCAGAGCCAAGTGCAGGTGTGGACCCCACCTGGGGGCCTGCGAGCAGAGCACATCACGGTCCAGCGAGCCCCACAGGGCCTGAGCCAGCCCCCTGCTCCAGCAGCGCCTCCCCCAGCACCGGCAGGCCACAGTGTTGGCACGGCACGCGCGTCCAGCAACAATGACGATGCCCACCTCTGTACAAACAAGTGTGGTTTATTAAGGCATTTCTTTGAGAAGTTGGCACTTGGGTCCAGGCCGTGCTGGCACGGCCCGGCGTGCAGGCCGACGAGCAGCGCCCAATACATGCAGCTCAGCGAGACACGATACAAAAGGTACAAACAAAGTAGAAAACAGGAATCGTAGTACAATGTGTAAAAATAAATAACTGGAGGCTTGGCTCCCGGCTGGGCTGGGCAGCCCGTGGCTGTGTCCACCGGCCCAGAGCATGGCCCCCACACGTCCGACCCCCCACGGGGCTCGTGGGGACAGCCCTTCGGCGGTCTCGCCACGGCCCCCCGGCGCCACCGTTGCTCCTGCGGACCCCATCCCGCAGTGCTGCCTTGCGCCCCGGCAGCTCCCGTGGCCACCGGCACCGCGGGACCAGGGCACAGCAATGCACCAGCAGCATGGAGACAGTGACGGTGAGGGGACAGCCATGGCGTGGGGACAGCTGTGGTGAGGGGACGCTGGCGGCATGGGGATGCCGATGGCACGGGGATGCCTGTGGCACGGGCTAGGCTGGGGGCTGTGGCATGCACATGGAGAGGTTTGGGGCTGAAATGCTGATAGAGATGGGGTGGCAGTGACAGATGGCTCTGAGCTGGAAATAACAGAGGGGAGTGGGCAAAAGTGGTGGGTCTTGGTTGCTGTGATAAAACATTTGGGGATGGGATGACAGCTATGGTGCTGACAGATTTCAGCTGAAGCTAGGAGGAAGCAGGGTGTACTATGAAGGAAATTCCCAAACAGCTTGAATAGCCCCAACCCCCCCTTCTCAGACAGTTCGGTGCCCCCCAGTGCTACCACATGCTGCCGTGGTGCTCAAATTCCCAAACAGCTTGAATAGCCCCAACCCCCCTTCTCAGACAGTTCGGTGCCCCCCAGTGCTACCACATGCTGCCGTGGTGCTCCTGCACCACAGCTTCATGCAGGTCCCGGTGGCCACAAGCCTCCCAGCTGCAGGCAGCAGCTGCAGGCACCGGACGGCCCCCTGGCGTGGTGCCATGCATGAGTGCAGCTCCACCACGTGTACTTGCCAGCTGCAGGGCCAGCTAGCCCCAGACAGTGCAGCGCCAGTGCGAGGCTGCCTGTGTGAGCGGCACTAGCATGGGGATGGGGACCAGCCCCAGGGACATGCGGCTCCGTCCCATGCTCACAACCCAGAGGGAAGGAGCAGTGTGGAGCAGCCCCAGGCAGCAGCCTGGAGCCTGCGGGCAGGGGCTATGGCACCCTCTACATTTTGGGGATGTCCCAGCCAGTCCTCATGCACCCATCACACTGCAAGGCCCTGGGGGGAGGCTTGTCATCCACCATCTTATGCTGTGGCTGGCCGAAACCATGCCGCCCCCCCCCTGGCACGGCCACATGGCTTTTGGAGGCACCCTGCCGCTTGCTCCCCTGTGGCGGAGTCTGGCTGTCAAGTCTGGGGCAGACAGAGCCAGGGTGGGTGGCAACGCCTGGGTTGCTGGCTGGTTTTGATGAGCAGCCACCTCGCTGCCTTCCCAGGAGCCAGGCTGGCTTGGGGCTGGCTGATACAGCCCTTGTGCTGCTGCTCCTCCCAGCCCTGTTGTACAGCATCAGCCCGACACCCCAGCCAGCCTGCACACTCGGGCAGCACTGCCCCTGACATCCCCAGTCAGCCCATGCACCCAGGCAGCATCTCCCCAACATCCCCAGCCCACCCAGGAAGCATCTCCTCAACATCCCCAGCCTGCCCAGGCTGCATTGCCCCAATATCCCCAGCCTGCCTGGGCAGCATTGCCCCAACATCCCCACCCCACCCAGGAAGCATCTCCTTGACAACCCCAGCCTGCCTGAGCTGCATCGCCCCAGTGCCCCCAGCCAGCTTGCAGCTGGGATGGGCTCCTGGCTGATGGGCATGGCTTCTCTGGGAAAGGGGCTTCTGTGCGGGGTCCTGAGGAACAGGGCTTCCTGGCAGCCCTGGGAGGGAGATCCCTTACAGGGGGCATGTGCAGTGGTGGGAGGTGGAAGGGCTTGGAGGATCCCAGAGGATTCTTCCCTGCTCTCCCAGTTGTGGACAGGGAAGCAGACAGTTGACATGGCCCTTTCCTCACCCCCCAGCTGTGTTGGGATGCCCCACGTAAGGAAGCGGGATCCGTCATCCACGGCCCCACAGGCAGCAGGGCAGGCTGCTGCGGCTGTGCTGGCTGGGCAGCGTAGCCCTGCCCTGCCCTGGGATGGCTCCCCGGCCCGCAGGCCCTGCGGGAAGGGGCCAGGTCCTGGCTCAGCAGGGACGGCCCAGCCTCCTGCTGCACCCAGGCTGCTGCCTGCTGGGGCAGGGGCCAGAGAGGAGGAAGGTCTGCAGTCGGCCAGGCTGGAGCACCCAGCTGCTCCCAGCTCCTCGGAGCAGAGTACCATGAAGGAAAGTCACACCTGTTGCTGATCTGGGGCACCATGAACAGTACAAGGAACCACGGCCTTGGGGTGCTGGTGCTAGGATCAGCAGTCCACAGGGCATCAAAACTAGCACTGTATCTGCCAGCCCTCAGGGAGCGATGGGAACCAACAGCCCCAGAGGCCAGGGAACCCATGGCCCATGGGGGCCCTGGGCCAGGCAAGGTGCTGGGACAGCGGGCTCAGCACCTGTGCAGAGCAGCCCTGGCTGTGGCCCTGCTCCCAGCCCCATGGCCGCAGGGGCGGGGGAGTCCACGGGGCCCAGGGCTAAATCCTGAGCTCAGCCTCCTCAGGGGGCTCCAGCGAGTGCTCGGCACTGATGGTGGAGGCAGAGGGCCCCCGCG